GCCTGCCCTAGAAGTCAGCCTCGCGTTGAATGCTCGGGCAGCTTGATGGACAGGGACCTTGATTCTACCACGTCATGACGAGGAAAGTCATGAAGGCTATAAGGTCTCCATCCATCTCCTACCCACTTATTAGTGAGCCTTGGGTTTACCAATTGAGGAAGAGACATATGTTCCGTTAAATTGAATGAAATGATATTGGCCGTACCTTTCGGCCAGTTGCAAGTTGCCTAGAGTCCGGCTGATCCAGCCCGGAACCCAGCGACACGTCAAGTTGGACGAGGACTCAAGTGCGTAAGTAAAGCTGGCGGGCAAACCAGGTGTTCGCCTGTAAGAATTACTCATGCTTCTCGGCTAGTCATCATCCTTTCTGCCAAGGGATTAACAGGATGAAGTGGTTCGATCTCCGAGCCTCCACGAGTATGGTGCTATCGAGGCCCATCTTCCATCGTAGGTGAAAACCACCAGTAGGCGGTTGGGAACATGGCCCGGAGCTCGCCATATGGCCAACAAAACTATAACATATCCTTGTGCTAAAGCAACCATAAATACAGGCAAAACGCGTCACAGAAATTAGGACTGAAAACCGCCAGGAAAATGTTCAGCATGCTTTGTCAAGTCCTCAAGTAAAGGCAATGGTTCGTTGCTGTGTCCGCGACGCAAGTTGGCGAGTCTCTGAGCCAGGTATTTATCCCAACGGGGCATTCTGTAAATGGTGGGTCGTTTAGATAGTCGAAGAATGTAGACAGGAATTGCTGTAGCGATTCGGTGAGCGTTTTCATAGTCATAATTATGATTGTTGATGTCGACCACAAAAAAAGAATGCTTTGAGTGTATTTCTGCAGCCGGAAAACAAGTTTCTGCGCCTGGGCAAAAACTACTCACGGAATCCTGTACCTTCCTGACGAACGGCTGAATTGACGCCAGATAGTCCTCAGAGTCTAAGATCACTGTAGGCGTATCGCCGACGATTCGGATTGGTGCGTTGTGATCAACTTCCAGGGACGCTTGAAGAAAACTTTTCAATATACTGTGGATTTGGTCTAGGAGAAAATCCCGCAAACTTTTCTTCTCATCTTCCAGCATCGTGCATTGACAATCCCTGGTACTGCTAGGAGCTAGGACGAAGAAAAACCGGAGTCAGTCCATTGATATTGGTCGCGGCCGCTGTGAGGCCTGACTGTTCTTGAAGACATCAAGGGGCACTGGGAGGATACGAACCAAATCAGAAGCCTGGTCCGGTGACCAAACGATGCGACCATGCCAATAAAGTGACGGTGTTGATCCCCTAACTACGGTCTGTATAGGGTCATTGATAGCTTTGTATGGCTCCATTGTTCATCCCCGCAGCAACAGAAGTGGTGGTGGGTGATGATTAGTAAGTCGGAACTAGACTGGCTGTGGGGTGGATATGCACAGCATGTCTGATCCAACCCATGTGGATTATGGGTAAACCACCAGGTATCTTACCCACCCTTATATCCACGTGGGTTGGGTGGTGGATATCCATAGATATCCATACTATCTAGTTAGGTGACCTCTAGTATTCAGATTACCCCCTACTTTTTTAGTATTCTAGCCACACCACTAGGATATCTATATATTTAATAAGTAATATAAGAATAGATTAGTATAAATATTATATATTACCTATTATATAAGCTAAAATAGGCTTATATAGGGGAGTAGGGGTCCCCCCTAAGCTTAGGTTGAAAGATAGTGCGGAGATATATATATCTTACCCTCACTATCCTAATACTATCCTCTAAAATCTAAAAACTACTATAACTCTAGCCTTTCTTAGTAGATCTAATATTTATTTTATATATAGATAGATATAACTATTCTCTATCTATATATATAAAAATATTCCCCTATCTAGGCCTAGATCTAGTTAGATAAGCTTATCAGTTTAAGAGACCCTAGATCATGTGTACCCAATGGTTTAACCCATATCCACGTGGATATAGCAGGTTTAACCCATATCCACATGGGTTGGATTAGGGCCAGCCCTTATCCACCCAAACAGTGGATTGGGTGGGGTGGGTGTGGATTTGTGGGGTGGGTAAGCCAGTCTAGTCGGAACCTCATTCACTTCAGGACGACAGAACTGAGAGGCAGGGGGCGTCATGTGATGACTCGTAGTGAAGACACGAGGAGGCATAGAGCAAGTCCGGTATTAGGGGTAGGGGACGGAGTCCCGTACGTGGCATAGATGACTACTTACGTTAACCTAAGCTAACTACCACTCGGCTGCTGACCCAGCAATCTAGGCACCGTTAAGCAGAAAGCGTAGGCATGCTGAAGACTTAAAAATAGGCACACACTACACTAAACAAAGCTAAAAGGGCAGCACCTAAGAACATGACCTCGCCAGGAAGGACCAGGTCATCGAATAACCAAAATGGGTATCTTGCTTCAAACAGCAACTTTACGAAATCAGGTAGAGGGGCAACAACCAAAAAAAGGCAAACAAGAGGCAGCTACATGGACCTTCTGTACCAAAAAAACGTTGCAGTCCAGTTAAATCTCGAAAAAAAAAAAGGTCCGTACTTTTATTGTCATGAAGGGAATCCATGTTAGAGACGGACTACTTCATTTATTTCATGACATTGTTTTTACCGACGCGGAGACTCGCCATCATTGGATTGTATGTGGTACTATAATCGATTTACCAGTTAGCCGGTGATCAAGTGCTGTCTGCGGCTGCTCACAACAAGTATAAGTGCCACAGCTGCTTGCCATCAAAATATATGCTCCAAGTCTACCAATATATGGAGGATCAAGTATGGATTTTGCGAAAACAATCAAAACCCGATTCAACCAGCAGCTACATTGGTGGACACGAATATTCCCCCTAGCTCGTGCTGTGACAACCCAACAGTATCCACCGTTCTTCACGTAGTCATTGAGAAGCCAAAGACCTAGCATGGAAATCAGACCCCGTCCAAGGAAAAAACCGATACACCTACTCAAATCAACAGGAAGTGCACGTAGCTACGCTCCTGGAAACGAGTTGTCACTGCTGGATGGCGAGATATACGCATGCTCGGGGCACGGAATGAGCTGGGGTTCGGGGGGGTCGAATATCTGTCGGGGATTCTCCGTATGAATGTTGCAGTTGCCGTGGTTTTCTGTACAGCGCCCCGCCTTCTCAAGAGGCCCAAGACATCCTCTACACTTCCCTCCCATGTACGAGATCTGCTTCCAACGACACATATGTCATTAACATCAGTATCTAGTGTCACATCGTATCGGGAAAAAAACAGACATTTGGGGTATGGAGCGATAATATTATAGGGTTGTGAGGTTGGTGGACTGAGCGGTTTGAAGGCAAGAACGAGTATGAAAGGGGACTATAGTGCTCTTATATATATTAGGTATGTATGCTACTTGAAGGAAATGTTGCCAGAGCACCTGAAAATTAATTCGCTGGTTGTTTTGAGAACAATGCCTGGGGTGGTAAGCTGATCGATTAAACCCATACAACCCATAACTAAGAGGCTGCTTACAGCGAATACCCCACAGGGACCCGTTTTTCAGGGGCTATTCCTAAAAGGACGAGTTCAGAATAGCCCCGTGAGCCAAGCCATAAACACTTAAGTTTGATCCGCAACGCTATTCACAGCAACAAGAGAGACTCAACTACCCTGGCTAAGCCACCTGCATACTAAGGTAGCCTGAGTGGGGCGGGGTTACCCGCGGATAGCCCGAAATTTAGACGGTCCGAGCCCGGAGCAACGGGTAGATAGCCCAAACCCGTAGTGGGGACTGGGGTCTGCGGGCCGCATATGACCTACTGCTCTTTCCAGTGTCAACGTCAACGATTTTTACAATAGTGACTTCTTAAAATTGAGTCTTTGCAGACATAGCACTGCTTGCTTCAGATTGGTGTCGCACTCATTTTATGGACTTTACTTGCGCCGCATGACATCAGAAGAGGCCCCAGTAATTTGCTTTGTCTCATGGGACTTGATTGAATTTTCTTTTCGAGACGAAAAGAATATCATAGTACAAGGGGGACTTGTTTCAATTAAATCAGTAATAAAGTTCCGCTGAAGTGGTGTCCTTAGGAGCAGTCGCTGTTGCAATACTGATGCACATCTCACACAACCGTCCTGCCCTTGCCACATTGATAAACAGGGTCCATGCGTCCTGGACCTATGGCACCTGTCGGACAGTTATCACATTCCCATTGGATACTTATGAGTGAGTGAGCAGTTTAAGTGTCTCCAGAAGAGGAGCGTCATCATATATTGTAGAGTTGTGAGTGGCATTCCCCTCAAAAGCAGGTTGGTTTCGCTTGCTAAAGTAATGATTCAGACTTGTTCTTCTAGATCCTAGTCTGAGACACAGAATGGTCAACGTAAAGTGGGATTGTAGGAAAAGTATAACAGGTTACATCCATTGTTCCCAGTGTGTACTCTAATGGATCATGGCTTCCCGCAAGCAGAAATAGCAATGATAACTCTCGTCTAAGAATCTTGTTATTAATACAGGATGAAAGCCGGCAGTGTCCAGGGAGAGCAACAGGTTATCAGCTATATTATTACAGAGAGGCTTTATGATTTATGATTGTGAAATTCGCTTGCAACACCGGTCATTGTTAGTTTGGCATTATGCCTTGTGCTTTAGAAAAATAAAGGGAAGTTGAGGAATTTGACTTTTTCAACTTGCAAGCAGCTTATTAGCATTTGTATCTGAAGAGGTATCAAGATATAAGGCCCTATAAGGCCTTGCGGAAGTGAACAAGTTCTTCTGCATAAGCACTCCCAGGTGGATTTGGCACCCGCCAAAACCAAAAGACATCAGTTGTCTGAGCATCCCTTACGAATCTTGCCGCGTAGAGCTTCTGCAAATATGTTTGAATAACTGCCACACATGCATAGGCAATCACAAACGCATGTGGAATTTCGGTGCAAAAGCTAGGGATTGCTAGCAGGAAATACCGTGCAAATTGAAAAATAAAGAGAAAGCTGGCAACTTCATATTCAATCAGAGGTTTAACCGCAATAACTGGTACCGCAATATGTCTCGATAGAACTGCCACTCGTCTCACCGTTCCATTTTTTAACTCTTCCAGTGCCGTCATCAGCATCTGGAGGCGGCCCAATGTTCCAGCGTGCCCTTTCAAAAAGAGCTTCCCACATGTTTTCTCCCTTCGGACTCACATCCTTATCTGTCACTCTGATGTAACAGACCTCTCTTTTACTAATATCCAACAGAATGCTCAGGCAGCCTTCGGTGAATGTAAACACAGCGGCAAATACGAACAGCTCAATTGGAGGCTGTCTGGTATATTTCCACTTGGCGATGGCAACAATAGGCAATAAACCCAGCCCTAAGATCCCGAAGAGGAACGTCGGAATACCGTAGAAGTCGTATTTATGCCAAGCCCAGCGCCATAGAGGAAACTGCCGCTTGACATACAACAAGTGGTTTGGATTACTTCCCCGAAGGTGGTCTGCATTCTTCCGTGCAGCGGCATTAACCAACTCATCAAAATTTGCCTGTACAAGTGGAGGGATAGACATATGTCCTCCAATGCGAGTTGGAGCAAACAGCTCTCGAGGTGCCCCAAATGCCAACTTCATGCCAGAATAACAATCATCAACACTGGCTGGGCCATTCAGAACAAAAAATTTCCCGAAAGTGCGTCCAACAAGACATTGAATTGCGACGGTATGAGAAGGATCAACGCCTTGATTGATTGCCTGCATTGAACCTAGGACATTGACGACCTTATCGAAGTAAGGGAACACAGACCATGTGTTTGCCATTTTTCACGAGGAATGAGAGACATGCTAATATAGCAATAATACAAAATTTGTACTATTAAATATAGATTTATTCGGCCCATAATCCTTCAAGCCTTTTAATAGTGGCCGGTCATTTCCCACTCTGCAGTTTTGTTGGTCGAATTTGCTTGCATTACAGCTAGGAGACTATGACGCCACAGAAGCCACTTCATGAGTGGACTGATCAATGATTTCATGATTTCATCATGGGAAACTAAGATTGGATTATCTGATAACCAGTCCCGAACATATGTACAGATTAAGCTACTGAAGGCGAATAAAGTAAGGGAAAAGAAATAAGGTAGTGTGGAGACACCTATTAGGACAAATAGTCATTAATATGGCTTAAAGCGTGGTCTTAGCATGCAAGTACATTTTACTTTCATGTATGAGAGATATTCTTAACATATGCTCATAGGCCTATACATAAGGTCTCTCTTTGACATAATGTTATTTTGTGATCTCATGTGGTACTGGTAATATACTAGGAACATTATTATTTCCAAACCTCTACTTAATAGAGCCTACTTTGCGTGTGAACTAGGGACCTTAACCCCTAAGGAAATTCCTACTTTATAATCGGAACTTAAGCCCTAGGAGATTATATGAGGCTTATACCATCTTATCCATCATAATATGTGTTCACATTGCCATGCCATGTCTGTGGAAACCCTTCATAATGACGTAGCATATCGGCCGAATATCACGAGGCCGCCAGGTCATGATCATTATACACTCTACTTTATCTTCTTTTTGTTGGACTTATCCTTGAATACCGACACTGACATCGGAGACGTACAAAGCCACAGCCTACAACTTGGCGAAAATGGCTGACCATCACAGCGCGCATATCTCAACAGTCACTGCATCCCAGAGGCTTGATTCGAGAGGAAAGCCAACCGTAAAGGTGTCTGTGACGACGGGAGCTGGCAATATTCACTAATTGGCCTTGTTGCTGTATGGATTAATAACGTCAAAACTAGGAACCTTCAGCGCGATAGTTCCATCGGGTGCATCTGTCGGCGACTACGAAGCCCATGAGCTACGTGATGGTAACGCAGATGATTACGGCGGCAACAGCGTCCACCAGGCTGTCACGAACGTGGAGAAGGTCATCGGCCCGGCATTGATCAAGCAGCAATTTGGCGTCGGAGATGATCTGGAAAAGATCGATCGCTTTATGATCCAGCTGGACGGGAGTAAGCAAAGGTTGGTAGAATTCATCTTGCCCAGACCGGGACGAGTCTCATTTGTGTGGCAGGGAATTCCACTGTATGAGTTTCTGAGGGCACAGGCGGGAATGACAGGGCCATATGTACTTCCTGTCCCATTCTTGAATGTGCTCAATGGCGGCAAACATTCTGGAAATTCCATGGCCTTTCAAGAATTTATGGTTGCCCCAGTCGGGGCCGTATCATTAACTCATGCAGTTCGGCTCGGGAGCGAAGTTTACCAAACTTTAAAATCTGTGATCATGCAGAAGTATGGCGCGTCTGGTAGGGTTACCATTCACATATTGAGTAGAGGGCTACTAATAAATTGCTTTAGCTATTGGTGTCGGGGACGAGGGCGGGTTTGCGCCACCGATTACTGAACCCACCGAGGCTCTGGACCTTCTGATGAGTGCAGTGAAGAGAGCAGGCCATGAGGGAAAGGTCAAAATCGGAATCGATCCCGCTGCTTCTGGATTTTATATCCAAGGGGCTTACGACTTGGGCTTTAAGAGTCAGAAGCAGTGCCAGTTGTCTGCGGCAAACCTCAGCGATTTATATCGGTCGTTGCTGGATAAGTATCCAATCATCCTTCTGGAAGACCCATTCGCGGAAGACGACTGGGCAGCCTGGAGAAAATTCAACCAGGATTGTCCTATTGAATTGGTTGGAGATGACCTGTTGGCGACAAATCTTGAGCGAATGGAGATTGCCAAAGAAAACAACGCATGCAATTCACTACTTCTCAAGATAAACCAGATTGGCACCATAACAGAGTCGCTGGAAGCGTACGCCCTTCTCAGCCTCCACTTCCTCCAATCGTCACGGGGTATTATCCATATTAACTGCAATATAGGGCCCGGACAGCTTTCAACTACGGTTGGCGGGTTTTTGTCTCTCATCGCTCGGGTGAGACCACAGACGACTTCATTGCTGATTTGTCTGTCGCGTTATCTACGGGACATTTGAAATCGGGTAGCCCTTGTCGAGGAGAGCGGGTTGCTAAATTTAATCGTCTCATGGATATTGAGGACCAGCTGAATGTTTCTGGTTTGCCGCAAGGATATGCAGGGAAGTCGATGGGCTGGCGGGGAATGGATTGAGACATCGGGGAGTCCGGTATAGAGTATTTGAAAGCGACGGTAGAGTGCCTGAATATTTTATATTGGCAATGGTATCGCGTTTTGGCCCTCAGTCATGGGTTCCCACCCCATCTCTAGAAGTCTTTCTCAAGACACACTTGAAGTAGCAGTAACCTGTTTGCCTTCACTTTAGCTAAATCTAGCCAACCAGTACTACGTGTCCAACGGGAACGCCATCATAACAGATAGTCGCTCATTGCCCAGTTCAGCACTGCAATTTGTTCCCAGAAACACTGTGGTATCCCAACACTTCGGTCACGTCAAGGTGCCGGATGATGGCGCTTGCGGACACCCTCTCGATGGGCCCTGGTGCTGCAAGCCTTCTCAAGGTCCCATAAATACCTTCCACGCTGTTATGAACCCGAGCGCGAGGTATGCGAGGTATGCGAGGTATGCGAAAGCCCTTGTTCCAGAGAAGGACGGCGTGCCAATTCTTCTGGCGTGCGCCTCTGGACCGGTTCCGGAGCCGACACTTCGCTAAGGGCATTGTACGGGTCCCAATCATCATCGTCACCCTCTGATTTATCCCCGCGGTTTCCTCTGTCGGCCGGCTGTCGAGACTCGGCGTTCTTGGATCGGTTAGAGATATGAAAGAGGGACTTGATTTTATCCAACATTGTCATCGTTTTCCCAACTCAATGTGAAGGGGTTTGTTCTCTTTTTAAGAGGTTCATCTGAATGTCTTTCGATACGGGGCTCGCAGCGCGAGTGTTGGAAAAGAGGTCGGCATGGTCTGGCAGAAAAAAGGTCAGCAGGTGTCCATAAATTAATTTCAAGGTGTACAACACCTGTTTAGCAGTATTATTACCACCAACTCTAATTTTCCGCCCTCTGCCGACGAAAGCCTTTGAATAGCATTAAATTTAATTTCAATTTACATATTCATCTATAGATTTATGCTTATTATATGTGTAATATAGTAGATTCTAGATTATTTTAATATTGATATTATGTATATGCAAGTATAAATAAACAGAAAAGAAATTAGGTGGTAAGCTTAGTTAGTATACTATGTATATATATATATACATATACTAAAATAAAAAATAATAAATAACTTAGAATATACTATACTACATATATAATAACCATAAATCTATAGATGCTAACGGGTAGTAGGGTATATATATATATATATGCCATTCAAATTTGATGCTATTTAAAGGGCTTTTGCGATCAGAGAGGGTGGACTACGGTAATCTATATCAGAACACGACCAATGTCCATTGAGGTTGAACGGGAGTCGAGTTGAGCCAGGTTTGGCCAGAACCATGGCGACGTTTTTCCGACACACGCTGAGCTGTGTCACTTTCCAGACGTTCAACCGGGATTAAGGCCCGTCGTTATGTCACAGTCATTCTGTCAATCATACTTACCACTATTGGTAAAAGCTCAGTTATCCGGGAAGATATATGCACAATGGAGTAGTTTGTCTGTGCCTTTCTGATGTCTGCACTTTCACGTTCTATGTACAGGTAGTGCGGCTGGCTCGTTGATAGTATGACGGAAGTTCAAGAAAGTACTGAACAGGCGACATGTTCCTCACAATGGATCCTGAATCGACCTTGGAGCGCAGTCAAGTAGCCTTTTCATACGCCCAGGTCATTCGCCTTTCTGAAAGACGATTATCACTGTGGAAAACAAGCAGGCGTCGCCAGACCTCGAGTCCACTGCAAGCTTCCGATTTCCACCACCAGGAAACATAGGGCGACTGCCACACTCACACCACCGTAAACATAGGCATGCCGTCGCCGCAAATCGGACAGTTCCAGAACCCAGGTGCTCACAGTCGTCAGACTCCCGCAAAATCCGTCCACAATCCCTTGCAAGACCTGGCAACCAGTAACGCCTCCCATAGCCAGCCGTAGAGAATTGACAGGAGCTTGCTGCAGGGAGAATGCCATTCCGAGCACCATTGTGCCTCCTACATTAACCCCAAATGTTCCTAGAGGAAAAGAAACTATCCGGCTGTTGAACTTGAGGGAGATAAAGAACCGCGCTATGCAGCCAACAGGTGCAAAGACTAGGGAGAAGAGAAACGGTCCTCGCCATATATCTGGGCTCCATATCGTGGGCATTCCGTGATGTTGTGGCAACAATATTACGAGACAGATGACCACGGCCCAGGATAGGCAAGCCAGAATGACTGAGAGGGGATCCAAGTATTTCCGCAGCCATGATTGGGACAGACTAGGCGTCCATCGGGATAGGGCAATCGCAATATGGGCTCCGAGAAAAAGACCTGCCAAAGAGAGGCCGATCTCCGTGAAGAGAACTGCGATAAGAGCCATGAAGCTAAACCCGCCGTTGTGAGCTCTCAACCCCACAGAACTAGACACTAATATAGAAACTTCGGGGTAGGAGCCGTTTGGCACCGCTATATTATTGGAGAGCGCCAGAAAGACGTCGCGGATAAAGGCTGAGAATGAAGTGAGACTTCCACAGAAGCCAGTGGTCAGACCGATGTACAAGGGTACAGTCTTCTTGTGAGCCTTTAGATGCGCGGCTCGCTCTGACGGGTTATTTCTCGCTGGTTCAGGGATGCTAGATTCGACACTCTCAAAACGAAACAGCTCTTGATCCTCGCTCAGAAAACCCATGACCATACTGCCCCCGACGTTCGCCCATAGAACACTCGTATTGACCGGGGTCCCAGGATAAAAAGCAAGGGATTCGATAACCAACCGGAGTAGTGTACCGATGATGGAAAATAGAATGAGATAGGACACAACGTACATAACCCGGAGAAACTTCAAGATGTATTTGTGCTTCAGACGTTTCTCTTCTGGGTCAACAGCCGGGCTTTGCACATGGTCAAATTCATTTCTGGTCTCTCGAGGACTTGGATGGGACTCGTCTCCACGTTCAGGCAGTTGGTTTTCCAAGTAACCGTCCTGCCGTACGGACTTCTCCGACGGATCGTAAACCCGAGGAGGAGCGGCCACTTCGTTGAGGTTGGCCGTGGACTCTACGGGTGAATGGCTCTCCACTCGTATATCCGAATCCATTTTGATGTCCGCGGGGACGACCGTCGTGTTGTGAACAGACTGCTCGCATCCTCAGTTCTGCAAGTGCGAAGAGAAACAGCAGCAAAAACGTGAGGTCAGCGTCACGTAAACTTAAAAGAATGAATTTGAGCCCTGGAAAATTCGTCAGATCCGCGGAACCGTCCGTGGAGATGTATTATATTTGTGCAAATTACCCCGACTGCATAGGCTACGGAATAAGGATATGAAAAACTCAAATACGAGGATCTCAAATATTAGTATATTGCCACTCTATAGTACTATGATTGGGATTTATATATTCATTTATGCGTAGAAAAGAAATAGGTGAAGGCCTGCATAGGTACTACATGTTTAAAATGATATGAGACCTTGATTTCCTGGTATGCAAGTATGGTAGGGAGTAGGGATATTGGATACTAACTCTTTAGATATCTATAAACGTTTAACAACCAGTCAACTGCTATAATTCTGTTATGATTATCAACCACCACTTATTATCTAAACCCCGCGATATCGTATTAATATTTTCAGTTGTACATTAGAGTGATATTAATTACCGTATATTATATACGAAAATATTAACCTCCTAGAAGCATGCCAGATATGCCCAAGGCATATCAACTCGCGAGATGGTTTGGCCGGTAAGTGTGGCTGCTCTAGCATGGGGCCTTGTGGGAGGTAATACTGGTGAAAAGTCATTTTAGTTGGTTTGTACGTGCTGTTCTAGTTATTCCAAACGCGACGCAAGCAATTGTCAGTGCTTTCATTCTCAGGACCAATGAGAAAGGTGTGGTTCTTTAAACCAGGTTATACTGGCTGACGATGGCAGGGCTGTGGATTGATCAGGCGAGACCTCCTCTTTTGATTATACCCAATGAGAAAACTAAAAGCCAGACACCCGGGTTACTGGTCACTATTTTCTATGTGCATTATTTCGTTTGGTCCGAGTACTGAGAAATCGAGGGTTTGAACTCTCCGCCAAAGATCCTCCGCGGGAGAACCTCAACCTTATCCACTGGTCTACGGACCATCATCATCAGGAGCCGAGGAAAACATAGTTCCCATCAGCATTAGTAGACCTAGAAATTCGTCTGAAGCTTTACCATCTCATGTTTTTACACTTGCACAAGACCTTGTTTCCTTCCATAGATCTCCTACATTCCCTGCTCACTCTAACCTTGCCCCAAAATACCTCCAGAGATATCCAGTCTCAACAAAAAAAATGAGCGAAGAAATGAAGGACCACTGAAAATGGCCGAGTTCAAATATTTGGTATACTTTGCAGATGAGAAGGGAGACAGGTTCTTTGCGGATATTGACTCTACGGAGCCTGTCATTGGGGCTCAAATTAATGCATATCGTTTGTTCAAAGACCTGAAGGAGAAGAGAAACGGTGCAACTATGGCCATTGCTAAGGTATTACGAGCCTGTAAGAATAATAATTACCTCTGAATACAAGTCTCACATCAGAACAGCTCCTGCCTCCTGTCCCTGCACACGATCTGCCGATCTATTGCGTCGGGCTTAATTACAAGAGCTATGCAAAAGAAGCAAGTGTAAGTTTGTTACTATACAGGGTCCCTAAACAGAGGCTGATGGGGAAATTAGCTAAATGTCCTTGCAAATCCACCAGTGTGGACAAAGCCCGCTGCTGCTCTGGCCAGTCCTGATGAGATAATCGCCATGAACTGCTTCTGTGCGTCCCACTTACCATACTGAGAGGTGAGTGCTGTCCTGTTTTGCTATGAAGCCCCCTGCCTTGTTGGAGGTACATATGGTACGCCTGCTGGACATAAGTCTGATGACGCCCACATTGCAGATACAGGGCGAGCTGTGCTTCGTGACCTTGTGTGAGTGTCGCGACCTCACCGTTGAAGAGGCATCATCATGTATTCTGGGCTATACCATTAGGAATGACCTATCCTGCCACTTCTTCCAACTCCCTGAGCAGTCTGGCGGGCAATTCTTCTACGCCAAGGCCTTTGATAGATTTGCGCCGGTTGGCCTGGTGCTGGTTCATCTGTCGCTTTGGCATAAGGCTGAGAAGACGGCACGGTTGATGACGCGTGTCAATAGACAAGTCAAGCAGGACTCTCACCTCGCCACGGATATGATCTACGAGCCGGCGAGGATTCTCAGTTGGATGTCACAGGGTAAGGGCCCCTTGCATGAACGACCCTTGGAATAAGACTACGAGAAAAAGGCCTAATAATCGTTGTTTCTGTTCTTTTGTTTAGGCACCACAATTCCCGCGTATACAATTGTTATGACGGGTACTCCAGCAGGGGTCAGCGCATTCCAGTCCCCGCGACAATTTCTCAAGGATAAGGACTTGGTTGAGATTGAGATTACTGGTCTTGGAGTGCTGAAAAACCGGATTCTGTTTGAGGAGGGCCAGGATAATATGCTGTGAGATGACCTTTGGCCTTGTTGAAGACTGTTAACTTCACCTGGTCTGTTTGCTCCGAATGGTGGATGCTTGTACTAATATGTTTCCTTTTATGAGATGACCAGGGCCCTTATGTGGAAATTAATCAAGTCCAAATTGTGGTATAGGTTCAGTCTGTGGCTGGTATAAGTGTTGAGCTACTGGGAGTCATCGGTTTTTGTATCTTCTCCGTTCCGAACTCTGTATATTTTTTTTATCCGTGTAATAAAGAGTATCCCTATTTGCTAGAAGACTGATGCTGTAACAGCTCGTTATGGTACAAAGTAAGGATTAAAGTGAGACGTAGTGTCTGCCAGTCTGTAGGTCTTGGGTAGTGTCTCGCAAGGTGCCCTGTGTACGTCAGAGAGTAGATGAACCGTGGCATAATGTTCAAGTTCCTGTGGCAGGTTAGGGAAAAGTACATTTCAATATGGAGAAGTGCTTCTTGTAATATTAGTCTTTGCAGATAATATACAGCAGGATAAGGTCAGATAAAAGAGCAAGCAGTGGCAGTAGCAGCAAAATTTGAAGAAAAAATCAATCAGTTCTTAAGAAAGACTCCTTTCCAGCGCGTCCAAGCTACTCTTCAGGTCACCTAGGTCTCTGCTCATGGCAATAACAATGTTATCCGGCCTGACAATGACATATCAAGTGTGAGAGTCACCAAGGCGACGCATGAATTGGCTGGAGCTATAACCTGGCCGGACGGGGTACCTAATAAGAAGGTCCGCAGGGGCAATATGACAAACAGGCCACTGACTTATACCAGAAAGGTGGTCCAACAATTCAGAAGGATTGAACTGCATAATTGATCTCTCTAATAAAATAGCAGGGTCCATTCCAGACTGCCAAAGCACCTAAAGTAGAGTGAACACTTCCTGCTCTGTTTCAGATAACTGGGGAGTTGTGATAATAAGAAGAGTTAAAATAGTAGGAATGCGCTGTAGTGTGTGGTTAGACAGCTCAACCTTCAGGATAGGACTATTAGGAAGACATGTTTGAACATAGACCTGGCTCAGCTTGATCCCTCTGCTGTGCTCTGTAGTGAAGCCACCCCTAACACAACCATAGTACCCTTAGCTGTCTGCCCCAAATGGCCTGAATGACATACCCAGTGCCCCAAGGAAACCTTGGACAATGTTCAGACAGGCAAGCTACACTAATAATAACTATGAGCCTTCTTTATTGCACAACTCACTGTTCTGCTAAGTTAGTTAGGTTGAATTGTCAGTGCCTAATCAACATTCATCCGCCCAGGACTGGAGAAGACTTTATTATCAAGCCTGTGAGTGCGCAAGTAAACTAACCTTGGTGAGAATTACTAATCACCAGGCTAGCCTAACCACATCCTGAACATCATATGCTACTCCTTGCCCACTAAATGGTGGGAAGACGTGCGCCGCGTCCCTAATTAGAATGGTTCATTCAGCAAACCATTTATTAACCACGCGGTGACTGAAGCGAAATGGGTAACAGTAAAGTACCTTAATATAATTTTGAGGAAAAGTTACCTCTGCGGGGCGGCTACCGGGAAGCAGCTGGATCTTCTGGGTGATAAGTGGGGTCAAATTCTCCTAGAAGATGGTAGTTACATCTATGGAGTTATTCCACTCTAGGACCGCAAATTCATGATGCTATAGTTGAGCTGAATGCGGACCAAATCAACCACAGGCCATAGGCTTCCCTGGGGGATGGCAGAAGTGCTAGTTTGCTAGCCAGAAGAGGTTGTATACTGACTCTGGATTATATCCAGCTGCCCAGAGAGCAAGCTCTGGATGGCTTTATAGCATGGGAGGGTGCTTTTGAGATTAGTGGCTATCCAAGTGCCTTCATACTCAAAGATACTGGCTTCCTGATGGACACCCGCGGATGGCTCGAGGAAATATTTATGGATAATGCCTCTTTTCCTATCCGCCCTGACCAGCCAGGCGGCGTGGATTTGGCTAGGTGTTTTATTGCTATTAAGATAGTGGATAGTCACTCTGTTCGCGTGCTCATCGCGTCCAATAACCTCACAGGATGATTGGAGGGTGCAATACTCTGAGGAGGCCACCAATTACCTAAGGAAATACTCTGTGCAATTAGTCAGACTTGATCCATCATAAATTATATGAGGTTCAGTGCTTAGGAATCTTACCCAGCCATAGTTAGCTCTGCAAGATGGTGCTCAGCAGAGCATGTTTGAGCACATCTGAGTTAAGCATAGTTTTATAGAAAGGTTTGTTTTGATAGGTAGTTATGTGAAAATCAAGGGAGTGCAGCTCTACTAGGTAGGTAATATTAGCTACTAATTCTGAAAATGACTGAAGGCCAGAATATAGTACCTACCCTGTCCTATTAAGGAGATGTGCTTCCCTAGTCCTAGTATCCATAGACTCTGAAGAGCATCACCTGTGAGTATGACTCCTTAGGGGTCCTGGGTGATATCATGCTATTTCTCAAGAATAATGGACTTAAACAGAATTAGTTTGACTTCCTTTAATAACTGTGATAATATAAGATATATAATCACCTTAACCTGATGTCTCACTAAAGCAAGCCCTAGAGTCAGGCCTGACAGGCCACCACTAATAATAACCACATTGGTATTCATTTGAGAACTGGAAATGCAGAGATGAAACGGTCACTGCTAGGAAAGTATAGTGTAAAATGGTCTGCAATTATTTGATACTAGGCTTAAACACTTTAACATTTTGCATGGTGTGTAAATCACGGGGTGTGTATAGTTAGGGACCTCTGAAGTTGTGTCGCGGCGAGTCTTTGGTCCGACACTTTTGGGAATTCTCCCGCGGGAACACATGCGATGGCGAGGTTAACAGATCTTACTTGTCTCGACTTACCCAGATATAATCTGGAAATAAGAGAGTTCTTGTCACTTTTATCTAGCATCATTCCAGGATTGAACGAAACGATACAGCTTAGCTTGCATCTATCAGGCCTAAATATCACAGGGCATTGCTAAAAAGCAACTATCGCAATTCCAAAAGAGCAATGTCTCTATTTATCCTCGACGTGATTGCCCGTCTGCCCAAATCATGGCAGGACTGGATCCTCCCACCGTCCTCAATCCATACAGTGACCAACAACCCATCCAAAGTCCAACTATCTCGCATCGCACACGTCTACTTCGAACACAAAGACCTGGAGAAATTCGACAAATTCGCCAAGGACTTTGGCTTCATACCCGCAGAACGTAAGGGAGACACCATCTACTACCGCGGCTACGGCAAAGACCCATACGTCTACGTCGCCTCGCAGAGCCAGACCGGCCGATCACGGTTCCTAGGCGGCGCCTGGGTAGCCAAGGACGAGGCCAACTTCAACAAAGCCTCAGAGCTCCCAGGCGCCGTCGTGAAAGACATCGACGAGGCCCCCGGCGGTGGCAAGCTGATAACCTTCGCCCGACCGAACGGCACCTTCTTCCATGTCGTGTACGCGCAAACCGAGCGCAGCGTCGACACGTCAACTGAGCAGCCCCCCTCCGCGACACACGAGTCGCAAGGGCCGTACAACACACCCTTCCAGAAGAAACGGCTCGGCCAGTTCCAGCGGTACCGCGAGGCCTCCGCACTGGTGCACAAGCTCGGCCACTACGGGTACGTGTGTCGCGAGCTCGACACCGAGCTGGACTTCTACACCTCGAATTTCAACTTCGTGCACTCGGATATCCTCAACCTGCCGCAGTTTCCGCACGTGGACGTCCTGAGCTTCATGCATCTGGATCTGGGGGCTGAGTATTCCGACCACCATAGTATGTTCCTGCAGCGGGCCCCGCCGAATGTTTGGGAAATGTACCTCCATCACAGCTCGTTCGAGGTGGCGGACTTTGACGAGCAGCTGATGGGGCACCGGTATCTTGCCAAAAAAAGGTGGAAGTCGGTTTGGGGTGTGGGGCGACATATCCTGGGGAGTCAGATTTTTGATTATTGGTATGATAGCAGTGGGTTCAAGATCGAGCATTACGCGGACGGAGACGTGGTGAATGAGAATAATCTCACCCGGAGGGAACCTGTCGGGCCATTGTCCATATGGGGACCTGAGGTGCCCAAGGATTTTGGGGATAATAAGGCAAGATAGGATGGGATCATTATGGTGAGGTATAGGACTGTTCTGGTCTAAGGTCATGTTGGCTGGCATGTAATATTATTATATTGATGTATAATGTACGCGTTGTCCCATACTTGCTCCATCATTGGGTCGTGGTATTTGTGAACGTTTCTCCGAAGTTCGTCATCAGATGTAAGAAGCAAGTATCATCCGGTTATCTCTTGTTGAGTCTGTTCCGATGATATGTAAGTGTGTTGTCGGCTGGTGAAGGAACGCCACCGGCAAAGGTGTAGCAAGGAGATATACGGTTGATGGCAATTCGACACCTGGAACATACGCGTCATAAAGGGGAGAAAAAGTCGAACGAGAAATCAAGCCCAGAAAGGTCAATTCCGGATTCCTGTGGAGTAAGCAACGGGTCCCGCGGATTTGGTGCGAGACCAAGGAGTCCCCTCCATGGCCGAAAGGGCCCAGGCACTTGTATCAGCAGCTGGCCAATGTCGTAGGAGGAGAGTGGACCATGGACAACACTAGTGAATTTCTCGAACGACGCTGGTAGAAGTCAGCCATGTTGGAAGAAAATGAAATCAAAGTAAATATTGTGGACCCACCTTTGAGTGACCTCGGAAGGGCCCAGATTCGGGCAAATTGTTCCAAAAACAACAGCAGTATGTTCTTCTCTGCCTGGAGTCTCTCGGAAAGGGCAGGCACTCCAGGCATGGCCTCGTGCATTTCATGTAGGTAGAGTAGAATCAAGGTACAGAATACAATGAGACAAATGGCTGGATCGACAGTCGAACAGTACCGGCTGTCCCATTCTCTGATGATATCCACAATGTCCTCGGAAAGGGCCAGCGATCGCTCCCACGACGTCATCCACGCCGCATCGTCCGACAGATCGAACGTGATTGTGTTCAAAAGTCGTGCCGCGTGCAGATGAAGTAGACAGACAAGCCGCGCATGATGGTCTACACTAGATTCATTGGAAAAAGCGTTGCGAGCTTCGCGGAGAAACTGTGGAGGCAAGGAAAGCACCACTGCTGAGAGATGATCTCCGAATTGAGATCGTCGCTCCCGAAGACTTTCTGAAGCGTTCTGCCTCCTTAACCGAAAAATAGACGCTGCTTCTCTTAGGAGAGTTGTTGTGACGATATGCATGTTAAAATACGAGGAAGGGGTACTGAGAGCTCCCATTTCCGCCGAGATGCGCCACAGGTCCCTGGTATCTGTGGGCAGAAATTGAGTCACAGGACTGCCAATGCGGCCATCGCCTGAACCCTCCAGAGAAGTAGCCACCAAGGCGGTCTGTATGCTCTCCTTTTCCAGGACGAAGAAGGTGGCTGCCGTAGTGTTCGAGTAGGAGTCCAAGCAGTAGATACACCACCAAACATATCTCCATTCTTCCAGGTTGGCTGAACTTGCCAAGATGTCGCCAAACGAGTTGTATCGATCAGTGGAATCCAGCTGATGCAGACCTAATCGCAGGGCTTTGCGCGAGAGGCAACTGATATAGTCCCATGCATCCCCACCATGACCCTGGTGGAAACGATAAAATGCGAGCAAGCAGCTTTGCCGGAACGCGTCCAGCAAAAGGGCCGGCTGGGTCGGGCCATTCAACGGGTCGGTCGTCTCGATATTGGCTACCTGCCAACCGTGAGGTAGGCCGAGAGACTTTGCCGTGACAGCTAGGACAGTAAGCAGCAGAGAACGGTTGATCGATCCGTCCTCGTACTGCCGGAGAAAGTCTTCTTTCCGGAATAATGGGATGGAATAATGGACAAAGTCAAAGAAGTCATGGATCCTAGCATAGGTTGAAGCAATGGTGTCAATTCGGAGACAAGAATGGTAGGCGGCAGGACTTACAGCTTCGCCTGCATCTCTGGGGAAATCCCCAGCTCCGAGGACACAGGTGGCCCCGCTGGAGGAACAAGCGGTGTTAACCCTGAAAGGAGAGACTGAGTCTGTGAGGTGCTATCGCCCGTTGAGAAGCCAGCATCAGTATCCAACTGCAATCCTGTCGCCGGAGAAGCAACAAAGATATCGGGAAAGAATGAAGACATGTGCTCGCCATTGTCGTGCTCAGGACTGACGAGTGAATGAGCGGCATTTGCTGGGGACTTGGCAGTGCGCCTTGCTGCCTTTCTTGTTCCTCTGGCTGGACCTGGCTTCTTCTTAGAGGCCGAATAAATGCATGCAAAACCTCCTTCATGACATTGAGAGCAAACCGGTCGTTTCAAATCACCTTCAATGGGTTTGAATGACGATTTCTCATACCAGACTCTTCAATCAGGCACTCACACTTTACTTTTCGCCTAAAAAGGGTTAGTCAGGCCGAAATCCGGGGTATGGACGGAACCACTGACGAAATGCATTTGTCACATACTTGCAAGTTGCTAGCCCCAGGACCCTGCGAGACCTGTTCGTGAGCTACTGTCGCGTCAGACCGGCTAGAGGCATCTGGAGACATTATTACGATGGTCTCCCTTGTGCCTGATCTAAAACAAATTGCTGCATGTTCAGAACTCTGGTACTAGACGATGTGTTTGTGGCTGCAAAACGTTGCCTTGCGGAGATAGACAGCAGGACGTAATCACGTGACGTATAACTACCGACCAAAACTAGCCAATCGGATGATTTAAAATAAAGTTGTTGCCACTTGCCGGATCCACTCATTGCAGCCTCTCTCATTGGGCAGAACCGATCATCGAGTTCCTCCGCGGACAAACTTCGACGCTGCATTCAGCATTGCTATGGGAATGCTAAATTACCTTATTCTACGTTCATACATACAAAGACAATCACAGAGACATTCCTTTTTTGAGGCTAGGCTAGAAGATTGCCAAGCATCAAAGCCAGCCTGTCAAGCAAGCGGATCAATCCCTCTTCAACTTCTTCAAATGAAACATACGCGAAAACATCCAATCAAAAAGACCAAACCAAAGCCACCCCCCAACGAGGAACTGTATCAACTTGCTCTTATTTCCTTCCCACAGCCATTTCTTGGACGATCGCGAACAGGAATATCGGACTATGTGCTCAACGACACTCTTCGCGTAAGCATCGCGGCTCATTGCACCTTCCTGACTGTGTTGAACGCGGCGATTGTACTCCGGCAATATGCCATTATAAAGGGAATCTGGCGCCAGTTGGCGATCCTCCCGAGCAATTCGCGACTGGACACCTCCTGTAATGACTGTGGTGACTTTAACTCTGTAGACAGGCATCACAGTATGAGATTTCAATCTGGCACAAGACGCGAGTTCCAAGAGGACAGTGAAAACTTACCCAAATGGAGCCAGTTCGATACGCATAGTGTCGCTCAATGAATGTAAAGCTGCTTTGGATGCGTTGTAAACGGAACCAAAGACGTATGGCATCACCTACAGCAGTCAACATAGTCTCTTAGCTATAGGTCCATGGCTGCCGTGCTTACCCCAGATACTGATCCAATTTGCACAATTGTCCCCTTGGCTCGCAGGAGCAGCAGTAGAAATGTTTGACACATCAATATCACCGCGAAGAAGTTCGTCTCGAAAATCTGCCGGGCTTCCAGCAAGTCAACCTCCATTGCAGGGACCGTATAGTCTGGAGGCAGAAGATCGGTAGGTATATGAAGAGCAAAAGTACAAATGCTCATAGTAGTCAGCGCTCTTACTTCGACCACTGCGTTGCGAACGGTCAGCCTTGAATGACAACAGGAAATGAGGAGCTCGCGGATGTTCACATACGCATTGTTGACCAGGTAGTCCAGCCCTCTGGAACCTACGCGCCTCTCGACCTCGGCATAGCATTGCAGTACACTTTGCGGATCGTCGACTGTTAGTGCTAACGTCTCAATTCCTTTGGCTTCTAGACTGGCGAAGTCTTCAAGTCTTCTCGCTGTCGCAAACACACGGAGCCCCTTTGCTTGAAAGGCACAGCAAAGCGAGTAGCCTATTCCTCCAGGGGAGCATCTAAAACATATTCATAATGTTCAGCAACTGGCAACCCGGAGAAAGAGGCAGAGTGACAGGGTATTCGCACCCTGTGATGACAACTGTTCTTCTTTCGTCTGTACCGTGCATTGCTACCACCTATAAAGCCACGGTCAGCTAGGGAAAGCGGCGCGTTTATTTATTTTAACTATCTTGAATCCAAGGTCAAATAATTAGGCACCAGAAGCAGTGGATATTGCAAGTTACACGAGCGAAGGTTCTTTATTGTAGTCAGGCTGACCAGTTAACCTCGGCCGGAATGACACTGGAAGGGAACAAGAAAGGCCCGGCAAGAAAAGCACGGGGGATATAGAATCTACTCCACAAGCATTAATGCCATGGAAGACGTTGTCCAGTCTCACATGGAGGATGGTTTGCCAGTTGCCCAGCTAGGTATATAAATTCCTCCGCGGGGCCACTGCGATGTTCCGAAAGATTTGGAGACAATCTTCAAGTTTAGCGACTTTCCCATTTCCTGGAGTAAGCCAAAGATAAAATGTTGTCTAGGAGATTTGAGCACCCATCCTTCGGTAGATTCCAGAATTGAGAGCTTCATGTCGCACGAATCACACATGCCAGATACACTCACGCGATATGGTGTCTGTCTCCAACATACTTAAAAGGGGCACCTACCATCCAGCTGCATATCAGAAATCCGAATGTCTAAGGAGCTCTCTAGTTTCGTCAGTGTAGTCTTCAGCGTAGTTTTGCAATAGTCGCGCTAATAATTATCTTTCAGGAGTAACATAATACTTATATATTTTGATATAGAGCGGTAGCATACCCTGACAGAGCTGTGCAGGATTGCCTAAATAACATGGAATCAAACATAAAGATACGATTGTGATACATGCTCATTTCTTCAAGCCCCAGAAACTCAGCAATTGGGCGATCATCCAGTGATTTGGGTTAAACTCAGTTCATATTAGATTCACTCCACCTGCCACTCATTGTTTCTACACACCACCACTTGACAAACCAATCACTCACTACTGAAGAAATGCGGCCTTGTTACGCACCAAGAAATCTCTCCAGCTCGTTGGCTGATACCCAGCCTTCTCGAGCCAGTCATTGCTCTCTTTCAAATCCCTGCCGTTGTAGTAACCGGGATTCTCAATGAAGAGGTGATTCTCCAGCATCTCTTCGCCAATAGGACCGGGCATAAAGCTCTTATAAGTATCGGAATCCACCTGAACAAATCGAGCTTTCTGTCCGGTAACCTCCTCGAACTCCTTGAGGATTCGAGTAGGGGTGTAGTAGTCTTCGGCGACGAGGATCTGCGCACCGAGGGAGTCGGAAGGATTCTTCAACGCCGCGGCGACGTATTTGCCTATGCAAATCATCAGTCTCGCTATTCCAGTGCACTCTCCTCGCAGATAGTTGTCACCTACCCATATCGTTCTCGATGTCGACCAGTGGAAACGTGGCATTCTGACTCACAGGGTACGCCAGGGTGTAGACGCCGTCCTCGCCCTTGCGCAGCATACCCATTTCGGGATAATTGCTCATGAAATACCCCGGCAGCACAAAGGTAGCAGGCACACCAATGGACCGGATGTATTGCTCGACCTGCGCTTTCTGGTCGAAATGGGGTACATGTTTCAGCCGACCGCCGGATGTCTCGGTGACATTGAGCAAGGAGGAGAAGATCAGATGCTGGACGCCAGTTTCCTTTGCTGCGTCGGCCGCGTTCTTGCCATGCACCAGTTCCGCTTCTGAACCGGCGGCGCCCCAGGCTGGCGTGGTCACAAGGAAGACCGAGTGACTGCCTTGCAGTGCCTGGACGAGAGACTCCTTAGAGTTMATATCGGCCTTGGAGATGGTCAGTATTGTTTCTGCTTCCAGTGTTTGGTCTGGTGGGTGGGAAATGCATACATTTCTCAATTCAACGCCTTGCTGGGACAGTGCTTGAGCTGCCGGCTTCGTGGCGTCACGGGTGATACCGCGGATCTTGAAATCCTGGGAGAGCTTTGCATCCTGCAGGATTGTGCGGATGACGGAACCGCCTTGTTTGCCTGTCGCGCCGAAGACCGTGAGGATTTTGGACATTTTGATGGATTGATAGCTATGATAGACGATGAAAGTCGAGTTGTTGGGAATTGAAGATCTTGTTGAGGGATATGTTTCCTAAGGATAATGTCGCCCTTTTATCATCTGTTCTGAAGGTATAGATGACTTGACATTGCCCTCATCAGCCTGGCCATGACAAATGTTTGCCACGACTCGGTGTTGGCACCGCCGAGGAGCAGACCTGTGGCTTGCGTAGTCAGCTCGGCCTCCGAATCAAGCGAACATCCTGTATATTATTAATCACCAACTTGTGGCGGGTTCCGTGGGTCTGCGGGGCAGAGCTAAGCTATGGATTAGATCATCACCTACAGTAGTAACTCTCCTACCTATAGTTAATGAGGTCTATAACTTAGTTGCATGACTGACTGTAGTCTTCATTGACAAACTCAAGCATATCTCAGCAGGTGGACGAATCATATCTCTTAGCGAAAGACATGACTCTGCACTATTGGCAACCTAATGTATTCATGACTCACGGTCCTCACGGATAACAACACTATTATTTAGTGCTTCATTATTATCCCTAATAAACTACTAGCAAGCCAACCTTATACCACCGCATTGCAATCAAAGATGGCCTCCTCAACACATGTACCCTTCGGGATCCCCGAAATACTCGAGATGATTCTCCTCAACCTGGACATGCGCACACTCCTTTGCATTCAACGAACATGCCGCTCCTGGTGGAGCATGATCCGAGACTCGTTGCCTATACAAAAAGCGCTATATTTTACACATATAGAAAATACACCTGACCAGGACAAAGTGCAAAATCCCTTATTGGTAGAAGCATTCCCAGCCCTTTTCAAACTTACCGACCCCGACAACCCGGAAGACGATTATGAGTACGATAAACCCGCCCTCGCCACCTTCGACATGATGAAAAGTTCCTCCAAGCTAGCCGCGTATCTACGACCAGAAGCAAGCTGGCGACGGATGCTGGTCCAACAGCCCCCAGTGTGCAAATTTGAGGTCTACATCTACTCGACTAGTGGATATGGTTTCGCGCATACATCCTTTGAGGTTCCGGTAGGCAGATCCTGAAGAACAGGCGGCCCCGTTAGATTATAGATTCAGGAACTAATCAACCGGCACAGGAAGACCCAAGAGGATTTACAGATGGCTTGCGCATGGGTGACTTTTTTGAGGCGCTGGTGTTCGATGACGATGTCCCCTTTGCGACATGTCGCCTGAAGCATATCATATGGTGGAAACGAATCCCACAGCACGGCCTATCAGTATGGAAGGAGATGGAACATCTAACGGGAAAGACGGTCGATTCTGATATCGTTGTCTCCCTCCGTTCCCATATTACTCAGTGCTATGATTCTGATGACGATGAGACACCAGAGGATATAAAGGCGATGGATCGGATTAAAGCTGTGTACAGGGAGTTGGGGATCCAGCCTAGGCGTTTGGGGAAGACCGAAGAATGGAGCCATTCCGACTGGTGGGAATAGACCCTTATCCTGTTTTCTTATTTTGTTGGTTGGCTACAGACTGCGGTAACCTAAGACATCTATGACTGGTTTCTCTCAAGCTTTGCGACCGACATCCACCAGATTTGCATAGTGGCCCAGCCATCCGCCACGTCTTGATATTGCATATCTACTGTATCTGTGAGGGACGTGGCTGCTAAGAAGTCTGGAAATACCTGAGATCAGAGGACCAGTTTCTCCTAGTAACCTATGAGACAACTTCTACCGAGAAATATGGAGCCCTATATGGCTGCTCCTTTGGGTTGTGACCGACTGGTCCCATCGCTCCGACGTGTCTTGTCAAAGCAAGCTGAAACAATATTGGCTAGTAAGGAGGATGGGCAATTCAGAGCAAAAGATCTCGATCCATTGATGGCAATATCTCTTGTAAGAAGCCGAAGACGAAGCAAAAAGAGATAGATACAGGATAATCTGCCATGTCTCAAGTTTCAACCACACTGCCCGAGTCTGAATCGTACAATTTCTCTCTAACGATGGCTTTGGGCGGCTTCGTTAGGTCAGAGGCAATGGAAGGTGGATGTTCCGTTCTTTCTTTCTCTCCTCTTGAAGTGACGGGCGCTTTTTCGGTGATTGGAGCATTGACTTGGGAAGGTCCATCCGCTTCGATATCGTTCAACGAGGCATATTGTGCTATACATTAATGTCAGGACCAGGTTAAATGCCTGCAAGTTTTGCCTGTCTTCAAGGTTGGAATGAACTTACGACATTGCTTCATAGCTAACATTTTCTGAGTCTGCCACATGGTGATGAGGCTGGTGATTAGGCTCATGAGGTTGAAGATCAGGCCAACGATGAAATCGATTGATACAGCCATGGTTTCAGCGCAGGCAACATTTGGGCGACTGTTATATCTCGATTCTGTGGAAGCTGGAAATTGATGGAGTGGACATCACGCAAAATATATAGCGTTGGCGCAGCCACGATGGCACGCGAAATAACACTGCCGCTCTGATATCTGCCTTCAATAATGCGTGAACTTTTGGTGTTATATGGGATCTTCAGAGATAGGAATGAGTGTTGGAACTTTCCATCAGCCAAATCACTTGCGCTCACAGTAGCCTTCCGCGACTCCTGTTAAGCTGTGATTGCACGGCCACCAGTGGCTAGGGAAAGGGGGCATTTGTGGTGTTGTCTGCATGGGACCTGAATAAACCCCATGATCGGCGGGAGCTTGGTGATTGAGCCATGTGTTCGCCTCGGCTACTCTCCTCTAATAAGATAGGCTGATGCGACGTCACCAAAAGCAGGACAGGGCGGGAACTTTGGGTGGATTTTTCGTGTGCGTCCAAGGCGAGACCTTTGGCGTCGAAGCTTGGTGGACTGCTGATTTAGCCGCTGGGACGTTTCCTGCCAACTAACAGCTCTGCGACATTCACCACAGCAGCATCAGTATCTAGATGTTACGAGTGCAATGGAACAGGCACCTAGAGAGTGCCGAGATCAGGAAATTTGTGCATTTGCAGTTTCGTGACTACCTATTTCACAATCACCTTAAGAAAAAAGCTCACGGCGAAGCCACTCCCAGCTACAAGGCCAAGTCCTGTACATGCTAGTCTGTATCAATTCTTTCGGTGATACTCTTAATCTCCGCTTTCAAGTCATCCGCTGCCTTAATTTCCCCGTTCTCGCGAAGCCATTTCTGCTGCAGAACCATAAGCTCGATGCGCCAGGGGTCGTTACTTCCCCACTGCTCCGCAATCAACGGCGTCGCCTGCTTCAGGCATTTTACCGCTGGCATGATCAATTTCAATTCTTTGAAGGCCCGCGCCTGGATCTCCATGCCTCCAATTTGGTAGACAAGCAGATTAATATCCTGCGCGAGCCGAGCACGCTCCTCAAGTTTCTGGCCGATATTGACGGCCTGCACCCAGTCTTTGGAATTCATAAAGTTGTACCCGAGCGCATTAAGGACTGTCAGGTGACTGACCTCCAGTGTCCGTGCCGTATCCTCGCAGTCCTTGAGTAGCTGACGGAGGCGTCGCTCAGCGGTGGCGGCATCCCGTGTGCCGTACATGCGGAAGATGAGATCGCATTGGTGGCGAACGTACTCCGGATCCAGCTTTGGCAGTTCCTTCTGGAAAGCGTCGGCGGTGATCTGCCAAGTGTTGTGCACAAGAGATTCGAGCTCCAATACATCTATTTGAGTAAGAAGCTTGAACATGTGCACGACGGGATGCTCAGGGTGGAGCACCACCTTGGCCATTTCGTAGATATACCTGATCAGGCTGACAACGATATTCACTTGGTCAAACTGAACGAGGAATACCAGAGATGTCCAGAAGAAGTTGAGGGCTCGAACGTTCCCACTCTTGAGGATGGGTTTGACTAAAGCGAATGCTTTGGACACGACATGGTGCCCTTCGATTGTCGACCCTTGCTCAAATAGCAAGACAGCAGAGCGTACCAGATCGAAATAAGTCTCGGGCAAGTCCATCTCCTCTTTGGTACATGTCATGCTCGTGCAGACATTACTGCTATCCACCTTCCAGACGCCGTAAGTGAAAGAGGTCTCAATGTGCCGTTGAGCCAACGAAAAGATTCGTTCCGCAATGGATATTGGTGGCGTGGCCGATCTACCCGATCGTACTCCGACAGCCTGAGATAATGCGAGGGACTGTCTGAAAGGCAAAGAAAGCTGCCAGTTCTCCTCATTGTCTGCCGAAACCTGGCGCGCAGTATTCGGGGTATTGGCGTGTCCCACATCAGCAGCTTGGTCGTCGGCGTCTTGAGCATCGGGAGCTTGGAAGATGTAGTCGACGGCGTCTGAAGCATCGGGAGCTTCAAAAAGATGAGTATAGGCGCTTCCAGCATTACTAGCTTGAAAAGGAATATTAGTAGCTTGAAAAAGCCGGTCGTCCGCGCCTCGAGCGTCAGAAGCTTGGGAATAATGGTCGGTCGCCAGAGAAGCCAGCCATCGGTCCGCTACTGCGGACTGTCGTCTGGGACGCTTATTAATTCTCTTCCGAGAAGTCTGATGTCTCTTGTACTTTGTATCGAAGCCCCACTCTCGAAGTTTGTTCTTATACTGTTTGATGCTGGTGCGACTATTAGAGACTGCTAAAGACAAGAGCTCGTTCCCAGCCATACCTGCCGAAGTGTCCGTGGTCTCGATCCATAATAGCCATCACTTCCCTCAAAGGCTTGTTTTCATCCAGGTACAGCTGGCGGATCTTCTGTTTGTGCTGCTCCCATTCTGTCGGTAAGGCATATACTTTCGGTGCCGAGGGCGCGCTCAGTTTCGGTGGGCCTTCTGTTGTCAGGCCTATTGTTTCGTCGGCATCGCGGAGCCCCACAAGACGGGAGCTGGCATCACTGGCGTTGTGCCCGGAGTTGAGCATGGCGGTGCCATTTAGCGTCTGGTGTGCCCATCCACAAGCACAAATCCGCTCAGGTTGATAGCTGTGATATGTGATAGATATGTGAAGGTGAGATACTCCAGTGTTGGTGTGCTCTTTGTGAAAGCATGTCCCCCTTATCCTCCCTCACAAGCGGAGATGCTGGGCTGTGCAGATGGGTGCTGACATAGCACGTGACCCTGAACAGAGCAGCGCGGTCATTATTGTCTGCAGCGAGGCTGAAATTCACGATTGCATGGGCTTACGGGCATACGGGCCTACCCTTTGCCTCGCCTTGCCTTGTGGTTGGCCTTTGCCTTTGATTCGCCTGGACTCATGCGGGGAACTTTCACCCTTGCCGTCTCCACCAACGATAGCGTCCCGTCTTGAGGGTGAGAGTCCTCCATTGCTTTCTTTTTGGCCTCGCTGACCATGGACTGCAGCTAGTACTGCATACTGACACACGGGGTTTGCTGGCAGGTTATATTATAATCTACTAATAGCTAGCATCCCCTGTCCTTTTTTGCCTGGTTGACCAAGGACTGCAGCTGGTACTGCACATCGTCTCCCGATATTGCTGGCAGATGATAGATAGTTCTACTAATGACTAGCATCCCCTGTCCTTTCTTGCCTCACCGAGCAAGGACTGCAGCTGTTATTGCATATTAACACCCGGGTTTGCTGGCAGATGATATGGTATTCCACAAATAATAGCATCCCCTGTCCTTGTTTGCTTTGCTGACCAAGAGCTGCAGCTCCCACTTCATATCAGCCCCCAGCTTTGCAGGCAGATGATATATTATTTCTACTCAAAACAGCTACTGCTGCACGTTGACCCCCGTGTTTACAGGCAAACTCTATGTCAGGTTGTTTTGATGTGCTGAGCCCACATGCTGGACGAGGCTCTACTACTCCTCTTCACCCTGCATGCCTGCATGCCTGCATGCCGGCAATTCTATCCCTACCGCCGCTGCCGCCATTGCCGGGGGGGGGGGGTTTATGTGGGACGCGATAGGCTGGTCAGTATGAGCTACAATTGAAGCTCTGCGATTGTAGCCTTCACGGTCTAACGACTGCGCATGTCAATATAGGTGTTGTTAGAATTTAACCACTCCGCTAGAAAGCGAGAGGCCACTGTTACTTAATAACAAGTAGCCAAATTCGTTTATTCTAACAAATGTCTTGACAGTATACACGTCTGTCGATCAGTCCACCACCACAAGTATGAATGGGACGAAAATGAATCAAATTCTGGACATCGGTGGGGGTAAGATAGAATCCTATAACAAAGCACTCCTGGAGAAAAAGCTCCTCTGGAGTCAAGAACCTTTCACTACCCTCGAAGGTCATGTCCAAAGAGTCCTACCCACTCCAATCATCTACGGCGACAAAGGGCTCGAGCTTTGGGCGAGCATCACGCACTTGCCGAGCTACTACCAGACAAGAGGCGAAGCAGCCTTGCTTGTCGAGAATTCTGGAGAACTGGCAAGATGGATCCAGAAGGATAGTGTTTTGATCGATCTCGGCTGCGGGTATGTGTCCCGATATGCCCTAGTAGAGAGCTGTCTTCAGCTCTGTGAGCGTCGCCTAATCCACAGAGTGCAGAGATATCCGTAAGCTCAAACCGCTATTGGAAGAGCTTGACCGTACGCAGAAGCCGGTCCTTTACTGCCCACTCGATCTGTCGCGTAAATCGATTGAACGAGCCATCGAACAGACCAAGCTCTCTAGTCTTCCCAGCATCAGTGTCACCGGTCTATGGGGCACGTTTGAAGACGGAGTGGACTGGGCGAATCGTAACTGTGGCGACCGGCCTAGGATGTTCCTCTCCTTGGGCTCAATGCTCGGTAATGATCATTTCGAGGATGCGGTGGCACGGCTCAAATGGCTGTGTTCGACAGGCTTGCGCAATGAATATGACACGATCCTTCTGACTATGGACGGAACTAAAGACGTGGAAAAGATCTGCAAATCGTACGACGATGCAGAAGGCCTGTTCACGCAATTGATCCGTCAAGGGTTCGAAGTCTCGAACGATGTCCTTGGTGACAACTGGTATCGACAGGAGGATTGGACTCTTGTGCGTAGGCTTACACAAAACCCCACGATGCACCGATTCGTCTTGCAAGCTAAGCACACCGTCCCCTGTCCGATGAGGGATGTGACACTCCGCCAGGGCGATGAAATCGACTGCTATGAAGGTTTCAAATATGGACCCGAAGAGATGGCAAAACAATTTGAAGCGGCAGGAATCAGGGTGTGTGCGCGTTGGAAAGGCCCAAACGATGATATCTGTAAGCTGTTGATTGCATGGCCGATCTATATGAAAGCTAACCTCTGCCACATATCAATATCTGTTGGGGAATGCGGATTTCTATTCGTTAGAAGTGCAGAACGGTGTCACAGTCTAGTATCTTTCGCTAAATCAAACCAGGATATGGCGGCGTGAAGGAGCATGTCGAGGAATGTGGAGGTGGAGAAATACACCAAGAACTGATTGAACTTGGTTGATGTGATGATTTCTTTGATTGTGCTATTGGCGACTCGCAAGGGTTTCAACCATTTTTTCCACTTTCAGCGGGGGCGCTTCAACAGCTCCTCACGCCGATTACTCTGGCTATTTTCTCCAATTAATGGAAGCTCACTTTTAGACTGGATCCCCTTGGATCTTCATCGCGAAGGGCTTGAGTCGGACTTATAGGAACTGCGTTTGAAGTTTACTTCCTACAGTTATGGCTCGGGCCCAGGGAATGTTCCCTTGTGCGATTTCATAGGTTACTATTGATAGCGTAATGAGGGAGATGATCCAATTAGAACTATTACTGGAAGAAAGTGCTAAGCCAAACTGAGTTTGAAGATAGGAGCCAAATTGTGGTAGCAAATTCAGATAATTCGGTCAAATAACATCATGTCGCTGCCCACGGCACCCGCGCTAATTAGTCTCCCCCTTGCTGGAAAGCTTTCCGAAATTGGGCAGCAAAACAAGACGAGAGCGCCCGAGCTACGCAGATACGCGCTACCGTGTTACTAATTCCCCTTTGACTTTTCCAGCCAGATCGTGGACTCGATGCCCGTGGAGCCTAATGGGCACCTCATCTCGTCGCCAGGGCCATCGGACTTGACGGCGATGACAAGATCGGAGAAGCCAATCCCCCTCTCCTGCATGCGCTTGATGTCATGTTCAGTCTCAGCACCACGCACTACTACCGTGGAACGGGCAGATCCCTGGGGCACACCAATGTCAAGGGTATGCGCGTTTTGCCCGGCGGCAAATTCAATGTCCGAGCCTAGAATCTTGGAATAGACGCGGGCATATTCGGTCTGCAGGTTCTTGGGCACGAGGATCTCGCAGGCGGCTATGCCAATGGCGCCGCAAGGATGCGTTGTCTTCTCCTCGTCCAGACTTGGGACCCTGTCGGTTCGCGGGGTGACATCGTGGCAGAAGAATGGGACGTCGATTCTGCCGTTGGCGAAAAGCTCTGGACCAGGAGTCTTGTCACCGTTGGAGAATTCTGGTCGTGTGACCTTCCACTTGATCTCCACGCCGTCGGCTTTCTTGCGTGATCCCGCAATCGGCTTGCCGAATTTGACACCAAGACCGGCGTCTTTCTCGGGCTCCTGGGATAATCGTTCGTTGACCGTTTCGACCGATTCCTCGGCCGAATGGGTAGTATCGGTGATTGCAAAGTCGATCAGGCCCGGGGTTTTGGGCCCCCAGAATCTCATCGGCAAATTCTCGTTGTCCAGAGACGGTGGTGTGTCGTACCAGTTGAAGAACTCCAGGTAGCTGCCATCAGCGAAGATAACTAATTTGTTGCGCGATGGTTGGCCATCGTGGTAGCCTCCGGGGGTGACGGTGAAGTTGTCAGTGACCCAGGCGGGGAGGTTTTCAAAGAAGGGGGTATCGACAAGGAGAACAATATGATCTTGTTGTGTCGAAGTCATGGTGCAGGCCTGTCGTTGCGCTTGATAGTGGAGTGTAATGATGTGTTGTGAGGACTATTTGTTGAAGTTTAGGGAAATGGGGGTCTCGAGAAGCCCTATTAAATAGGACGCGAATGGAGAGTATCTGGTCGATACTCCCAACGAGTATTGCCGCCTGGTTGGAGATGTCTGATCAGTAGCTGGGCAGCTATTGCAAGACGCGCAAGGCCGAAGAACTTTAGGGGAGAACGCCAGGAACTTTGGGCTCTGCCAGCGTTGGTCATTACACGTCGTCGCTCTCGAATCATCAGCACATGATTTGGCCCGAGCACGGATGAGGAGGAAGGACCTTTGTTGCTCGGTGAATTGATCATCGGGCAAGGAACTTTTACGTTTCTTTTCGTTTTTGCCTCGCCGACTTAGGACTGCAGCTGCTTACTATGCAGGCGACGATATGCCAGGTTACTTCGATTCGCCAGTTGGCATCCACTACCCCTCCTTTGGTGCAGGGGTTCAAAGTTCCCTGCATGCTCACCAATCGACGCGAGGAAAGTGGCAAGGCATGTCGTTTGCAAGCCCTTGGATTATTCCTAAGCTTTTAGTCACGCAGGATGGGGAGCTTCGAGCGTGCAGCACAACCGGGGCAGGCAATGAGTCAAGCTGGTACGAGGCCCCTCAGCGCCAACACCTGAGCTAAGGATTGTTCCCCGCCGCATGCTGGCCAAAGAGGCTCTGGTGCGCTTGTTATATACTATAAAGGCAGCAAGTTTGCAGAAAATGGCTGTACCAGTATTACCATACTGGCGTTATTCGGCTTGTCTCTGCCGTGCCCATGATACGTGCCTGGAGATAATGGCAACATCCAACATGTCGGAAGCTTTCGGCCACTCCACTCCAATTATTATTGTTGGTGCAGGTGTCTTTGGGTTGTCTACTGCCTGGTGGCTCGCTCGTGCAGGTTACAGCAATGTCCGCGTCCTCGACCGATGGCAAGTCCCTTCCCCTTCGTCCGCAGGCTACGACCGCAACAAGATCATCCGGACTGAATACGTCGATGGCCACTTCTCAATACTGTCGCAGGAAGCTATTCAGTTCTGGCGAGAACCGCTTTGGAAAGATGTGTTTCATCCGACGGGCTGGTTATATGGCACCGACGGCTCGTTAGACCAGGATAGGGCAAAGACTTTTGACACAGCGGTCTCCAATACGCGCTCATTAGGCGACCCCTCTCAAATCGTCGACCTACCAGACTGGGAGCACATGTTCAAATTGTATCCAGCAATGGGGCACGACCATCACCGACGCCAACGGCAGCAAGGAAGGTACGAATCTGGCACGCCAGATGCTCCTGCAGCCTTCCGAGGCATCTACAACAGCAACGCTGGCTGGGTCGAGTCCATCAATGCCATGTTAGTTCTAAAGCGTGAATGCAAAAGACTCGGAGTCGAATTCATCGCAGGTGAATCGGGGACCGTGACGGGCTTCGTCCGGGACCCCCACAACCCCACAACCGTCATTGGCGTGCGCACGGCAAACCGGACCATCTGGCAAGCCAAGAAAGTCATCGTCTCCGTGGGGGCATACTCGGAAACGTTGCTCGACTTCAAGAACCAGCTGCACGCGGTGGGATACCCCGTCACTCACATACGCATGACCGAGGAACAATACCTGCGGTACAAGGACCTGCCCGTGGTCGCCATCACGCGGCGAGGATACTTCTTCCCGCCCAACGAGGACCGCATCTTCAAGATCTGCACCATGGACATCACCATGGTCAACCGCGAGCGCTGGGCCGAGCCCGAGTGCGACTGGGGCGTGCGAAGCCTGCCGCGCGACCAGGCGTACCACCCCACAGACACACAGCCGCGGGTCGGACGGCAGAAGACGCTTGAGTTTGCACGGTATATCTTGCCTGAGTTTGGCGATGCCGAGGTGGAGAGCAGTAGGTTGTGCTGGGACGTGGAAACACACGACGATCACTGGATCATAGATTATCATGAGTCCGCGCCGGACTCGTTGTTCATCGCTACGGGCGGCAGTGGGTATTCATTCAAGAACCTCACCAATGTTGGCAAGTATGTTGTACAGGCGCTGGAGGGAACGCTGGATCCCAAATGGAAGGATTACTGGCGTTGGCGGCCAGATCGTGTTGGTCAGTTTCCGGAGAGGGAGCAGAGGAATGCGCGATTCAAGTATGACTTGCGCGACTGTGAAGGATGGAAGCACACTGCTACACGGCTGTGATGATGATGGCTTCTTTGCTGCTCCTGTCGGCATTTTCATTCGTCTTGGTTGTTGCTGACATCTCGGGTGGTTGCGACACACATTGAAGCTACCTATTCTGTACCGATTCCTCGGTCTTGGATCTTTTCCAAGGTGCTCATGGTTTTGCTCAGTCCCCCGTCAAATCAACTTTTAATACAATGTAAAACCAAGTGAAGGCCGCCTGTCAGAACGTTGTGGTCAGATAATGTGGCTTTGTTGATACACACGAGCCCGTAGCATCCGAATACACCTACGAGTGCTCACTTTTTGAGTGAGTAGGTATAGCCGACTCTCCACAAAGCTACAGCCTACAGCATAACCCTGCGCTAGCAAAGTTCCACGCATGAATTTTGAATTTACTGTTTCGCGCCAAGGCATAGCATAGTGCGGGCCCAGCTCGACGCCCCTCCTTCTCAGACCTAGCTTGCGCCTCTTTTAAGTGGCGAGTGCTCCAGTGTTGCTGCAGGGTTATATAAACAAGGTGAGAATAAAAGTATTTCAACATATTCCATCTGAAACGCATAGATCCCGGTAATTGACTCCACTGTAGGTTTAGCAGGGATATATGCGACAACGGTGGGGCAAGATACGCGTAGCAGGGGGACCTCGTACACTTACCCCGGTCACACACGTTCCTCCGATGTCGCTCCCTCGGACGCTACAAAACCTTTATAAACATCGTCATGGCTCATCAATTCTCCCTTGGTAGTTGGTCTTGCTCGACAAACACCTCTCAGCCATGGCAGTCGATAGAGCCGGAGCCGGAGCCGGGAACCTGGGACATTACGACACGATCGTTCTGGGTGCAGGAATTGCGGGACTCGCATTTGCATCCCGACTGCTTCAGGCAAATAACACCGAGAGCGGTGCCAATCGACTACAGATACTAGAGGCACGGGACCGCATCGGTGGCCGTATAGCTTCTGTTCATGTTCACGACTGCCGCTTGGACACCGGCGCGAATTGGATCCATGGAACCGGCAATACAAAGAGACCAAATCCACTCATGGACATTCTTCCACACAAGCGATACAGAACGATGAAAGGGTCTGTCTTGTTCCAGGCACCAAATGGAGAGCACGATTTCACCGGGAAGAATGGCGGGATCGCCGGAGGATGCTTGAAGGAAGTCAGCCTGGATGGAGCAGCACACAGGACATGCCCTGCAACGGCAATTACGAGTACAAACTCCGATGGCGGCTTATCGATTCCTGCTCATGAGGCTGGACTGATCTTGTCATGCCTACATAACGCAATTGGCGAAGTGCAAGACCTCGCTGCTACAATTCCGACAAAAGCAGCAAAGCACATGTCCATCCTACGAGCACTGGTGGGCACAAAGGCTTTTCAAGACGCATTTGAGCTTGTGCCGAGAGAGTGCCATCGCACATTAGGCGCGTTGTTTCAAGGGATAGAAAGTATGGAGGCTGCTCCGCTTCTTGCACAAACCACGGAACCCGGACGTCCCGAGAGCGAGCCTGGCCTCGGACTCCTAGAATACGCAGTGGACGATTTCGAGGGCGAACAAGCCTTCCTCCAGGACGGATATGTCGCGATCATTGACGAAATTGCCAAGCCACTGGTGGAGACTGGCGCTATAGCGCTAGAAGCCGTTGTAACGCGAGTCGACTGGACCGGGAGCCCCATCGTCATTGAAACCAGCCGAGGAAACTTTACCGCGAGAGAAGTGGTCTGCACATTACCTTTGGGTGTGCTGAAAGACAGTGGCACGAACGCACTGTTTGTGCCGAATTTACCAGCCGACAAGCAAGAGGCGATAGAAGGTCTTGGCTTTGGCACGCTTGATAAGGTGTTTGCAATCTACACTAGGCCATGGTGGAACTATGAACCTTATAGCTCTGTCATCAAGAACGCACTCATTCAAACGGAGATTCGGGGTGAGAACGATTTGCCTGATTCATTTCTGGGCTTCGCATCAGAATTGAGCGGTATCTCAGTCGGTCACGACGGCTCTGTGTCTCCCGATGTGTATCGACTGCCGGTCATAAACCTTCACACCTTGACAGGTCAACCTGTCCTCTGCGCTTTTGTCTCTTGCAATACTGCTACTGCAATCGAAGGAATGAAGGACGAAGACGTTAGTGGACTGTTCCATCGAACTCTTACCCAGTGGTTCGGCATTGAGCCGCCACGGCCAGATGCTGTACATGTCACGCGGTGGGCACAAGACCCTTACTCAAGGGGTGCCTACAGCCACATGATCACTGGCCTATCTGAATTCAGGCATAGAGAGACCCTCCAAGAGCCTATAATTAATGAAATGGGCGGTGTGCTGAGATTTGCTGGCGAACATTGCTCTCGAGATCATTTTGCAACGGTTCACGGCGCCCTGCTAGACGGCTGGAGAGCAGCGGATAAATCGTTGCAACATTCGCAATAATATCGATGTACTCTTTTCCAGAGATAAAGTTTCAACCTTACTTGCATGCGCGGTCTGTCTCCCCATTTTCAGCACTGATTGTCAACAACATTGCCTGGGCAGCCTCTGTTGTCCGTCTGCTAATGTGGAAGCATGGAGGAAGTCTGGTATCGCGGAATGTGGAGGTGGAATAATACAATTGGAGTTTCCTTTGTACGGTCGGAGGATTTAGTACGAGGCACCCAGTCATGTTACTATATTCCAAGGAATCATGGTTGAAACCGCTTAAGGTTCTGGAGCATCTCGCTGCTCAAGCAAACTTGAGTATTTGTACTCAGTCACAACAGCCGTGCAGGGTAGAAAAAGACCGTGGCCCTATAGATGAAAGCTCCATGGTACGGACATTGTGACCTTGATTTCGACGACAAAAATTGATTGATTCTGAATGACTGACGTGGACATACATGCTATCGCTCAAGATCCACGCGTGATCCGGCAAGCCCTTCGTGATGACCGCAGCGTCGACAGTGTTAAATCCAGCCTTGACCAGCGAAGGCCAATGATCTGAGACTCCAGGGGATAAAGGCGATGGATCGGATTAAAGCCGTGCACAAGGAGTTGGGGATCCAGCCTAGGCGTTTGGGGAAGACCGAAGAATGGAGCCATTCCGACTGGTGGAATAGACCCTTTATCCTGTTTTCTCTCACATGGCAAACCATTATTCTGCCCCAGGTATAAGCGCCTGGATGATGCCGTTGTCTCTATGATAGCGCCGCAAGTAGGTGCAAATCGCTGGAAGTTCATATCTAGCACGAATGTCCATCCACCATTTACTTTGTCGGGCTCTGGTGTACCACAACGATAATAGCAGAAGCGCTACAGGATCCTTCTTCTCCAAGAGGGTTCCAAACTCGTTATGCATGTGGCTGGAGACCAAGATGACAGCGCCTTGTGAAGCCGCCCCATTTGGCGCCTCTAAAAGCCGAGAGAGGGCATGTGCAACGGAGAAGTAAGGGTTAGTCTCTTGCGTTGATGACTCGTCGAGCCCACACAGCTGCGCTAGTTTGGCCGATACGCCACCAATGCCTTTCCGAGGCAAGGCGTAATGTAGGTATGCAAAGTTCTCGGTCATCACGCGGAAGATACTTTCAGGTCGCAGAGGGTTTACCAGATTCCACAGAGTCATCTTCCCAGCACCTAAACGTACCCACTCTAGCTCAGAGGAGTTCGATGCTCGGAGAGGCCATGCTTCTGCAGTACAACCAGCATTGATCGACGAGCAGGTCAAGATGGCAAGAGCACCGGCTGTGGCCCACAGAGGATCCTTGTGTTCTTCCTTGATAGGTTGGCACAACCACCTATTGAACAACGTTGTGCGTTGGGACAGGTGATACGATTCTTGTAAAGAGCGACGATGGGTTGGCGCTACGCCAAGGTAGCGGTCATGGGCAGCCGTCACGGCCAAGGTACCATGCATCAGAAATGGGCACTATACAACATGTCAGTAGAGTCCAGCAGACAGAATCTCTGGGTTATTAAACTCACAGTAAAACAAACTTGCAACAGATAATTCTCATAAATCTCTACGATTCCAGAATCACCGAGAGAGAATAGGGTCCGGTGACGAAACCGGTTGAACAGCTCTCGATCTTGCGGATCAAGCATGACTGATGTCGTTCCATCATCGGTCCATATGGCGTTGCTGATAGGTGCTTGCGGCGACCATAATCCAGATCGCTGGACTGTTGCCTGATTCACTCGGTGCTGAGTGAGTGGCTGGAGATCCGGTACATTGAAGTCGAAGTTGCAGAGGACCCCATACGTACGGCATCTCACGCAATATGGCCTCACCTCATCACACTATGAAGATGCGCTCCTCGTTTAGCCTCATGACATCCCCAGGGAGCAGAGTGTCAACTGACCTTCAATTTTCGCAATTTGCAGTTTCGGCATCCAAACCGCGACTTGCGCTTAGAGTCATTGCTCTTTTTGACTGTTGGGGCACTCGAATTTATGATTGATCGGGAGGACGGCTCATCGATACATCTAGTTCATGTAGGAATGCGGACTGGTTGGAGTTTGATGCGCTGTTAACATGAACCGTGTATAAAACGTCAGTCAGATGGCGTACAAGCGACAGATATATAAATTGCAGCAAAATCCCAGGGACGAAGCAGAGTAGAATCTCTCAGACTCAACCAAGATCCCCCACTGAACAGAAACATTTCTTTCACATTCAAGTCCCTACCCCATTTCAGTCACTATGCGCCTTGGCATAGGAGAGCCAGTCCAGCCTGTGGTGTAGAAAGAGTCAACTATAAAAGCAGGGTTTCATCTGCTTAAAAGGAGGACTTACCACTGGGGCTGCACAACATGTAGCAGTCCTACCTTCAGACGCACATATCGCCTTAAAGGAATCAATAGATGAAGGAGATCGGCTCACTATATTCGGAATGTTAGCCATCGTAACATGATAACGAGGAGTCACCCAGTACTAGAACTTACGGGGCTTGCAGTCAAGGTCTGACACACCAAGCACATCCGTCCTACAGCAGAAGGCTTGGGTGTAAAGTTGGCCACCACCACACAAGGGGCTATCCCCACCGGCCCCATTTCCGCCCTGCCCGTAGACGGGCATAGCAAGGACGGCAGCTAGGAGGATAGCAGAGAGCTTCATGTTGCAGTGAGGAAAGCAAATTCGTGGCGTAAGTTCTCAGGACTCAGCTTGATTGACCTAGAGGAAAACCAAATAGAAACTAGGAATCATTCAGTCGTGAAGAAGAGACGAGATTATACTGTGGGAGGAGGAGCCTATATATACCACCGGACGATCACAGTACGGAGGAATGAATGTCGGCGTGCTAGTCGTCAAATGATCATTTGTAAAATGATATATTCTGCACGGATAACAAAGGATACTTTCGACTCTTCGTATTGAAGGAAATTCCACTCTTTCTCCATTTCAGACCTCTACTATTGGAAAGTCACTGACATAGTGTGATAGATCTACAGGACTTGCAAATAATGCGCAGATCAGCGAGCAGCTAAGATTAACTATGTGGCTTCACAGGCATTCATTGAACTCTATTGATGCGATCGGCAAATCTTATATCTGTTTGGGATTGATCGGCGTCTAATGCATAGGACTTGCCCTCTGTTCAATCTAGCTATTGGTGAAGCAGAATACTCCAAGCAATTGTGCTTTTACTTGAGCCAGGCATGATACGCATATAGCACACACCCGGCCTACAAAGCGAAGCTCTTACTCCGTACCTTACCATCAGAATGATTGGTCACACTAGCAGAACGCCCGTGTAGCAGCAGAAGACTTGACTGACCACTGCCAGCTGTAGATAGGTAACACGATGCTCTGATAGAAGGGCTCTCTGCATTAAATATTAAGTAACCCTATCTCTATCCCTCATTTGACCTCAAAATAAACGGTTTTTGTAATCGTATTCCCCTCCGTTGCATCGCCAACTAAGCCTTGGGTACTTTCGGAATCGCCTTTCTGCGCTTGACGGTGCCCATGGACCGATGCATGAGTTCCCAACCCGTCATTGATAGTATGATCCCGTACAAAGGTGCCGGAAAGCGACGAGATGGCGTATTTGTCACCTGCGAAGCCATGACGTTCAGTAATAGCGAATGCATTGTGACTCGGTTGGAGTTCGATCATGAGGCGGCCAAGCGATGGAATGGCGGTGGTGATGATGCTGAGGTTCATCATCACTCTACTCTGGTCAGCTGCTGGTCTCGCCACTGCATTTGATTGATTACTTACTGCGCCCATATAGTGGAGCTGATGTTTGCCCCTATGTCTGATTAGCACCTTGTTCTGTGCGGAGATTGGGGTGATCGATATACTTACATGTCCGGTCAGGCGATCTAATTGCAATGTTCATGTAGTGCATTTGGATTCCGGTTGCAACGCACACACTGGATACTTGTCAGCTTCAAGGCCTCAGGGAAGTTAAAGCTGAGATGCTCACATCATCCGACTGGCGAGCATGGCCATGATGCGGAGTCGCTTCAACCTGCTGATCTGGACTTTCTGGAGCACGACACACGGAAGGAAGACCAGGGCTGCGTCGGTAATAATATTCATAGTCCAGATGTAATCTGCGAGTGCTTCCTGATTGATTCATTATCAATTGGAGTCCTCTAGGCTGTAGATTCCATCACTCACTCGATTGACACAACGGCCTGTGGTGTCCCACGGACGAGGCAGAGCGCATTGGAATGCCAGAGCCATGATCGAGGACGACGCCCATAACCCAATTATCACCATCAAGCCCTGACCAAGCCGCAAGACGTTGCCCTGGGCCGTCAAACTGCGGAAAAGGAGCGCGACGGAGAGTTTGCTGCAGGTGACGGTTGCAAGCAGGAGGATTTGCGTTCCGTATATGTACTGGGAGCTATTAGTCGCCTTTATAGGCCACCTGGCGGTTCGGATGAATTGTCACCTTGTCGAAGGAAGTCAAGTCGCTGGTCGAAACCACGTTTATCCTCTTGCCGAGTCCATGGTCGATGGATAGCTGAACAAACGCACTCTGGATGATTCCCAGTCCCTATTATACGCGATCAAAATTAGACATCGCAAAATGAAGCCGTACACGATCAAGAAAACCATACCGTGGCGCCTGCGAGCAAGATATCATCCGAGTAGACAACTCTTGCGATATACCATCTTGTAAACAGTCGCACAAATACAGTGGCCACCGTCAAACTCAGCAAAGTATACACAGTGACGGCGACATACCCACTGTGATCATGGTCTGAGATGGGGAACAAGGGTGGTAGCGTGCCTGCCATGTCAGTTTATGAAGCACAGATGCAAGCCGATCAGATCAGCAGGGAATATATGCGAAATCGGAAGGATATCACGGGCGCACTGGCAGCCCTGGAGCAATAGTTTGTAGTCGTTCGCATGCTGTCTGATTGGCCTGGAGGGGTCGATAGCAATAGCGAGAGTTATAAAAGCACGGCCCAATCAAACCTGTGGAGTATGTACAACTTGGCTCCAAACTAACGCGGAGGTATCTGTAGATTTGACAAGCGGGTTGCCAATGCTTATCATTGAAGCTTCGATGAACTCGTGGTGGCCCCGTTTATTGTTTGGCATTGGCCTGGAGTCCGTCGGACCTCGGCGAACCAGACGATGGGACTACGCAGTCGACGTTACATCGTGCCTGTGGACAAGGTTTTCATTTCACACGAGCCAATCTGACACTCTGGATGGGGTATTCTAAAAAAGTATCGCGAGTCGTGCTCGCTTCTCCATACAGTCCTGAAACCGCGATTGGTTTGACTTTTTGATTAAGACAATGGAACTGTGGTTTAAGCACATTTGACAGGCTCACGGAAAAAGTCAATTCAAATGATACTATTACAAATTGCTATTGCACCGGAGTCCGGACAGTTCAAAGCTCCAAAATCAACGCGGTGCTCTCCGAAGCCTTCAATGGACTGGCACTATTTGATCATGATCTGGACTAATAGATTAATACCACCAACCAGATCACAGCAGACTTCGGCTTAAATTACTTTACTTTTTTTGCTAGCTCTGTAGAGTGCATGATGTGGCCATACTCGGTATGGCAGAGATCTGATCATATGATCTCACTTAGTAGATAGCTCCTTCCACTATACAATAGTAAATATAGATTTATATATATAATAAATTAATAAAATATCTTTATATTTTAAACCTCTCTCTACTTATTCTATAGGTTATAAGCCTAGAGCCTCTTAAAGAGCTCTAGAGAATTATTCCTAAGTTCTTTTCTTAAGCTATTTTACTACTTTTTATTTTTAAAAGCCTCTTTTAGTAGATATTCTACCTAAAATATTTATCTAGGCTGGATATTCTACCTAAGATAGAAACTATTCTTTTATTATCTTTATTAATAGGGCCCTGTAAAAGATTTTTATATTTAAGAATCCTTATAGATATAAAAGCCTAGTAGTTATTCTTAGATATATCTAAAATCTTATTCCCTTAAGGGATATATCTAAAACCTTATTTCTTTTATTAAAATCTTTTTTTAAGATACTTTAAGTAGATCTCTATAAGTTACTATTACTTATAGATATAGATTTCTATTAAATATAGTCTAAAGCTATAAAAATATACCTATATAGCTAGGGTATTTAGTAAACTATAAATAGAACTTATAAGAAGCTAGAGCTACTAGAAGTAGGCTATTAGACTAGATTATTAGATAAAGTTAAGCTTATTAAATAGTAAGAGAGAATTAAAAAGGCTATTTAAAATTAAAAGAAGATAGATAATAAGGCTTATAGAGCTATATATTCTATCTTATCTTATATTATTAAATATAAAGTAATTAATTTAGAATTATCTAAAGTTATTTAGAACTATCTTAATAATAAATATAATATAATAGCAGATATACAGTCCTTTAAAGGGCTATAGATAGCTATTAATATAATATATAATAGTTATAATAGAGTCTAAGATTATATATTAAAACTATTTTAAGTACTTAATAAATTTAATTATAGTCTTAAGAAAGGTAAGTAGCTTCCTAAATTTATTAAGATCTAATTTTTACTCTATAATCTTAGTAAAATATAAGAAATATTCTTTATATCTTACCTTAATAGTTACTATAATAAGAGAACTGCTATATTTAATAATA